CATATGTCAAAAATACTAGTACAAGTACTTTATGCTAACTCCGTATACAAGTTTTACAGCCCGGAAATTCCGCTGAATTTTTATGAGAGAAAGACTAGAGAACTGAAAGAGGGTGAGATATAAGAAAACACCTGCAGAAATAGCCTCATGCAGTAGATTGTCTTCAAAGGTCTCAAGTTTTACCTCAAATGGGAAATTTTACAGACCTTCTTTTACCTTCCTTTTTCTATGATATACTCCCTCCGTTTTTATTTAAGTGATCTAGTTTAACCGGCACACTTGCTAATATAAAGCACAACTTTGACTAATGATATCATTGATTATCAATAAGTATAAATTATAAAAAAAAAAAATTGATATTTGAAAACTATGTTTTGAGACGATTCAAACAAGTATTCATTGACTATATTGTTTTACATATAAAGCACAAACAATGGTCAAAGCGGTGCATGTGAATAGTGCCAAAGTCAAAGTGGGGCACTTAAATATAAACGGAGGGAGTATCTACCTTAACTTTATTGATTTCCTTCTTGTATTGTAGAGGTGTCAATTTGAGTAATTGGGTTTAGTTCGGTTAGATCTAGTCGGGCTGGTCTGATTTGGATTTGAGTCATACTAAATTATTATGCACATACCGATTGAAATCTAAGTTGGATTACTTGACCGAATTTGGTAAGGTTGGGTTATTTTCGACACCTCAGATGTATCATCATATGTAAATATGTTTATGTATGTACACTGTCTGTCCTTTAGAAATTGCCTCATTTTACATTTTTGGCCTGGTCATCTTTTGGGTAAACACGAAGCATATATATATCATTTGGGTAATAAAGATGTGTAACAAAGCATTAAACTTTTGTATTTTTCATTATTATCTCTATCAAATTTCAAAAAACTAGTAAAAATCATTCAATCAAAACACCTTCAACTTTACTCTTTATTGCTTCAAATCGGTACTAGTAGATTCCTTGCATGCTGTCCACTTCCACTTGATATTAATTTTTAGGAAATCATCAACAAAATTTTGCTTTCTTCTATGCTTTTGTTTCTTCTATTTCAATTCGATCTTGAACCCATCGTATATGGCTTTTTAGTCCGTATGAATTGGGTTTTCTAGACATTTTTATGTTTAACGTATAGTACAATTTTATTTTTTTTAAATTCATCACACAAGATCTTAGGAAATCATTCTATCAAGGAAAAAAATGACAAGTGTAAAACGTTTCTTTTAATATGATAATGCAACTAGATAGTGTGTGTATGTCTCTTACAATGTCCAAAATTGTTACTCCGTATAAATATTGGAGTACATTATAGTGTTTACACGTGTCATAAGATCGATGAGCTGAGATAAAAGGTTCATTATTTTAGTTTTATTGTTTTTTATGTATTAATCTCAAAAACTTATCTAGACCTTTATTTTACCCTTTATTAAATTGCATAATAGGAATATAATGTACATTTTTTTCTTCCAAAAAATAATATAGGAATGTACATACTAATAATACATTAGATGGCTAAGAATCCTAAGATGATAATAATTCAAAGCATGTTCTAATTGGTCTCAAGTTACTTCAAATCTTGTAAAAAAATAATTGGTTTGCGTTGGTAGTAAATCATATAACGCTAGTGCATAACTGCATACGCGGAATATTTTCAAAGTCAGAGTTCATAAATTATGATAACATAGGTATATTCCAGCTTCCTATTGTCAAAAAAAAAAAAAAAAAAAAAAAAAATCTAGCTTCCTAGGAAAATATGACACAAATTTAATTAAGCTTAACTATATGGTGGTTTAGCAAAGACACACTTCCTCTTTTTTGGTATGTTCCAAAATAAACTTCATTTTCTTTCATTCCCCAGGTTAAAGCTACATTTTCTTTACATCACATCATGACTTTTTTTCCTTCTAAATTCTAATACTTTGTCACTACATACTTTTCTCTTAATTACTTTTGACAATTTTTCCTAATCGAATCTTTGTGTCAAATGGAAGCAAGATTGAATTAATTAAGGTTATTATATCCTCCTCATCACCTGAATAAAAACACAAAGCCCAAGTTATATCCTCCATATACTAATTCGTAGCAGAAATATACGATTGACCAGATTATAAGATCACATATAAGAGTCAGTAAGTCCACATACTTCAATTTTAATTACGTGCAAGGACAATAAAAATGGAAGACGGTATACAACAAGAATTAGTTTCGATACTCCATGAAGCAAAGAATTTAGGGTTTCGGACCATATATTTTGAAAATTGAAGAATATGTTGGTGATTGTGCTCAAATGGTCATAGTATTATAAATCACGCATATATCCTATCATGATCATCAATTCATCATCATCAAAAGGAATCAGAATAATTCTTGGATTTTCTTATCTTTGATTCTTGGACCTTCCAGTTTCTTCAATGGAAGTTGACACTAATTAACTTGAAAGCCTTATACAATTATATTTTCCAATGGTACTTCTCTACTTAGCTAGCTAGTCTACAAGTGAACTTAATGTGTTAGCAGAGAAACTTTCTATTTTAGGAAACTCTTTCCTAATACTAACACTGTTCTACACTTGAGAGCATTACACTATATACTAAATCTACTGGGTCAACCTCTGCATTAATGCTCACTGCATGCATCAAGTTGTAGTAAACGTTATTATTATTCTTTTTATCTTTTTAGCTGTGTGATAGATTGATAGTAAATAATATACCATATGAAAATTATGCAAATTTAATTAAAATTTTATGGGTACATGATAGAGTATAAAGAATATTATATAAAAAAAAAGGTCAAAATTTATTTGTTATGAGTACATACTTGACCTAAATTTTTCAGTTTTTTTTTATTAAGAAGTGTTGTTACCCATACCCTTTTTAAACTAAAAAAAAAAAAAAAAAAAAAGTATAGATCTTAATGTAAACAACAACAATCTTAGTATAGATATGCTAAGAGCCTAAGAGTAGACCATAATATAAAGCTTTTGTTCTAACACAACTGCCTAGTTCAAAATACATTAATGGCCATAAATAATCTTGTTACGAGTATATATGGAAGACCAAGTTTTATACACACTAAATATACGAAGTATTACATATACTACATATAGTACTAATCAAAGCTTGGTGAAGTTGGTGGAGAACTCACCTTGTGACTTTGAGGTCACGAGTTCAAGCCCCGCTAACTACAAAATTCTTGGGAGTAGGAGGATTCCCTTACCTCCCCCCTCTACTTTCAAGCGTTGACCTGCAGAGCTAGGCTGGCTAAACTTGTAAAAGGTGTCGCTTCGGTAGCGTCTTTTATCTTTATCTCAAAGTGTCTAATCTGTAAATACCGGACCAAAAAACCGTGAGGGTTGAGATACGGTAAAAAAAAAATTGTGTTGTATACAATAACGCATTTTTTTGTATACATATATACATACGTGGTATAAAACCCATTAGTATTATAGAGTACGCGTATTACGTTACATATTATTGAATTTGGATAAGGAAATTTTGACTTTTGGTACCACAAAAAGTCCTGTTATTGAATTTTGCTACCGCTAAATTTTTTTTTTTTATTTTACTACCACTAAAAATCAGGTTTTTTTAAAACTGATACCAGTTGACGAAAACTGTTAGATTAGCCGTTTGTGGGGCCCACTGCAACAGTTCTTTTTGTCTGTTTATTGTGTATTAGTACTTACTTTGAAGATCCCAACTTCTTCAAAGCTCATGTGAGAGGCGAAATTTGTTGGAATCGTAATCATATCACAACAATTGGGAAGAATGTTCAGCTGCGAAGGTGAATTTGCTAGAGCATATCTAGGCTAAGGTGAGCACAGTTGTTCAAAGCAATTTTTAATTTATTTTTTGCGAAAACCAATTGGAAGATGGAATTGCAAATTTGTTACGAAATTGTTGTTGGTTAATTGTAATTGCAAATTTGTTACGAATTGTTGTTGGTTAATTGTAATTGCGATTGTTTAGGAATGATGTAGAATCTGAATAGGATTTTAGTAATGGTGTAATTGGTAGTTAATACCAGTAATTCGATTTAGGGTTCTTACCCGAATTGAAATTAGGGGTTTTTGATTTGTGATACTGTAGGGAGTAATTGAAGGTGATGTTTGTTTAATAATGAATGTGTGATTATAGTTGTTGCTTAAATTTGGTTGAATTGCAGGGTAAATGTCGTTGATGAGGTTTTCTCCCTCCAAACAAAGGAAGTGTGACTGTGGGATACCTATGGCTAAGCTGACATCATAGACAAGAGAGAATCCTGGAAGGAAGTTCAAAGCCTGCAAATTCTATGATCCTAAAACAGAAAGTAGGGGTTGCAAGTGCTTTGAGTGGGTGGATGAGGAAGATGGCACAGACTGGCAAAGGGATGTCATTAATCAATACTTGACAAGAAATTGATGAAGGGGGAAATAAACTCACTACAGAGAGAAGTTGAAGATTTAAGTGGCCAAAGAAGGTGTTGCTAAGTGAGAATGACAACTTGCTAGTGAAGTGCAAAGCTTTAAGTTCTGAGAGGAAGAAATACAGCAAGGAAAGCCAATACAAATATGGTGGTGGATGCACAATTGTCCTAGCAATGACCATATGTTGTTTATTTCTGATTATAATTGTGTTACTTGTATTGAAATGAGATTCAACTTGGTTACAGTTACAAGTTGTGTATTTAAGATGATGTTGGTGTAAGACAACAACTTCCAAATGTAAGACTTTGAATTGTTTATGAATGTATATTAGTTAATGTTGGTGTATTTAGTTATTGTTGGTGTATTTATGTGAATGATATTTGCAATAAATAAATGTGGCAATCAAATAGTCTGTCATAGCAATTTCAGCACTAAAGTGCTTGGCAACCATCACAGTTAATATTCCCACAGAACTAGTTTTTATAGACAAAATTACTAGCAAAAACTAAGTTGTCTTAAAAAACCATAGAATGAAAGTTGCAGGGTACAATATCCAGGAAGCTAAAAGTCTAGGGACTAAAAACTACACTCTAATTCTTCTTCATTTCCCTTTTCCTTGCTTTCTTGTTGGCTGTTTTGCTGTTGTTCTCTTTTTTTGCTGCAGTTGTTGTTGTTGATGCCTGGATGCTTGGGTGCAGGGTGGCAGGTTGTTGTTGTTGGGATGGCCTCTGTTGAGGGAATTTTTGGTTTGCTATGCTGAATGGCCCAGGAGTTCCACCAGTCTGTCAAAAAAAAAAAAAAATCTTAGTTTATCCAAAAAAGCAGTAGACATGTAGTGTGTTAGGCTTGATAATGTACACACCTTCATTGCAGCCCTTGCCTCCTTCTTTCTTCTTTGTTCCTTGTTCCAAGCATTTTGCAAAACTGGTTTGCATGCTAGTTTGGCATCTGGTGGAGGTGCAGGAGCTTGCAATGGTGGATTGCCACAAGTCTTGGCATAATGACCAAGTTGTCCACAGTTTGCACACCTATTTTGCCTCTTTTGTTGTTTTTGCTGGCTGCCACTGCTTTCAGATGCTCCCTCTCCTCTCTCCAACTTTCTTTTCTTTGACTTAGGCCTACCAGGCATAACTCTTACTGCTGGAGGCAGGGCTGTCTTAGATGATGATGCTTCTCCCAATGCTTGGGTCCAGGCATAGGCTTCACAGGTTCCTCATATGCATACAAATATTTCTGCCTTGTGTAATACCCATCCACATAGTCTTCTGGGTCCACCCTCTTGTCCAAAATGCATGCATATCCATGCACACACATGGAATACCAGTCAACTGCCAATGGTAACATGTGCAAGTCATGTTAC